AGTTTTTCCTGCGGGGGATGGTGTTTACCAACAGGATAATGCACCATGTCATAAGGGTCGAATCGTCATGGATTGGTTCGAGGAACATTCCAGTGACTTTCAAGTCATGTCTTGGCCCCCAAATTCACCTGACCTTAATCCAATAGAGCATTTGTGGTCCTACTTGGAAAATCAAATTCGTGCTGCCACACTACCCCCCTTGCAATGTGAGGAAATTGCAAGACCAGCTGGTGAGCGCTTGGAACCAGATACCTCAGACTACCTATCAGCACCTTGTGGAATCAATGCACGGCGGGTGCTAGCAATTTTGAGGACTAAAGGTGGTCCTACATGTTATAAGCAGGGTGATCGTAATGTAATGGCTCTTCGGTGTATATGCAGCGTGATAGCACTATCACGAGGCAAATCAGTCACCACATAGACTGCTGACCTCATGAATTCCTACCATAACTGTTTTAAAAAACATGATGGATGGGATAAGGGGCCGCTGTGCTGCCCAGGTGCGAAGCTCAACAAACAAAAGAAGAAAGAAGAAAACCACGAGGCAAACTTAGAGAGGTAGTTGAGTGTATTAAGCGTGTAATTTTCGTATAGTAATGTGGGGTCTAAAGGAACGCTTTAAAGCACACGAAAAGTTACACGGGTGTTGAGCCTTCATGTTAACAGATGGCGTTAGCTAACTATTGAGAAGCTTTTAAAGAATGAGTTTCACTTTTGTGTTGAGAATGCTTCTGTTTTACAGTTTTTCCATGTGTCTGTAGTTAATACTTGTATTTTTTAGCGATGAACTTGTAAGAAAATAAAATAGTTTCATTTTAAAAAAATTGCGTATATGATTGCGTTGATGATTGCTTGACTGCATCAAACTCCCGGTAAAAAAAAATGTAATCATACTTCAATTTTCTATTTTTTTTTCAAGAGATGTTTAAGTACAGATTATCAATTTCATGAATCTGAAAGAAAAAGAAACGGTTTCGATGGTTAGTTGAGACTTATGTTTTTCAGTTAGTAGTTTTATTTTAACAAAGGTAGGTACTTTATTTACGTCGCACTGGGGATGCACATTGGGCTACTGGCTACGGTCTGGGAAACATCCCTGAGAATGATCCGAAGACATGACATCGCAATTTCAATCCTCTGCAGAAGGAATAGCTCCCCTATTTTGGCAGCCCGACAAACAGCGTGCGAAGTCTAGCACGTTACGGTAGAACAGTTTAACGAAGACTAATCCCCGGTACCCTCGGTCCTATGCAGACAGATCAAAGTGGTCACCCACCAGCTTACTGAGAGCAGCCAGTGATGCTTGACTTCAGTGTTCTACTGGGAACCGTGTCTTTATGATCAGTCCACTGCGGGACATTTATTTTCTAAATTAACTCACTGTGCTTTTTCGCAGAAATGCAGTATTTTCAATAAGTGTTTGAGATTTCGACCACTAATGAACTACTGCTGATATTGACTGGCAATACAGTAGTTAGAAGATGGTAGTGAGCAAGAAAACCGTGATCCCAAGTATCAAATGAAGAATGTCATTCGCAACCGTGATTTTGAGAGTGTGGGGAGGTTTGATGAAAATGAATGGTTGTTGCATAGGGAAAAGCCAGGCATGCATCGAATGTATGATGGCGCAGCTAATGGAAACAGCAAAGAATCTGTACTGTTGTACCGAAAATGGTTTCTTGGTGCAATAAAAGTGAAGATTTTTGCAGCACACACAATGTTCGAAAGTAAGCAGCAAAAGAAGCACTTTGCATTAGTTTTGTAAAAAGAACTAGTTTTGCCTCCCGTGTAGTTTTTTGCCTTTGCGCTTAAACACAACCCTTTAAACCTTATATTCCTATACAAAATTACAATTGCTTACGCGTACACCTTCCTAGTTTGCGCCGTGATTGGCGAATCACCCTGTTTCATACGCAAATTATGTATATTTACAAACTTATTCTCAATGCATAATGAGTAAATATCGGTAAATGCGTATAAGTATTACAAGCATTGTGAATTGTTTTCTCAATCAATACCAATTGGTTTTAGGATTAGCGGCTATCTATTGTAACCTTTGTAGCCTTGTAGTCTTCAGTAGAATAACTATATTTTTTACGATATATATATATCATAAAATTATTTAAAAAAGGAGTTATAGTTTCGTTGTTTTACGGGAATTCTAGATTTGGTAACATACTTCGCTAACGAAGGAGAACATTCGTTCTTGAAAAAGAAACAACTATATTACGTTGCAAGAGTATTGGATTTGATTGGACTACTAAAAATGGTTCGTCTTCTGCTGATACGCTCTTAACACATCAAATGTAACAAAAAGAATTTTTATTTTGTTTCGCTGTAAGAGAAATTATATTATTCTTTCATAAGTTTCTTTAAATGCAAACACAAAGTTGTATATATTTGTTACGATTGTTAGAAATCATCTATATTATATAAAACGCTAATACGTACGTATGTATGTATCAATAAAACCGATGATATTTCTTTTCTCGCGCTGGCAACAATTTTCATTTTTAATTGATTGGATTCGGCGCGCAAGAGCACGTAGTGAGCAAAATTAAGGTTTAGAATTGCTTCAGAGAAATTTGACTTGTTAACAACGACTTAAACAAAAAGTTTTATTTTAACTGATAAATACTATATTATAATTTTAACTTTTTCTATGACTATACTCATTTTCTTACTCTTTGTTTTTTATACATTTTATATTTTTGTGATAAAATAAAGAACTTATAGTTGTTCTGCTTCTGAACACTGATGAAAACGCAAAATGATGGGCTTCATCAACAATCAAAAATATATACATTTATTTTACAAATTCCATATTAGGGTGGCGCCATTCAGAGAATTAAAAATACAAAATTATCTTTAGCGAAGCCGATGCTTTACATCCGGCGTTCAGTGGCAGACTACTATTTCATATTGTTTTACAACACATGGCTTT